CCTTATCAGTTTAAACCCCTGGGAGTTTTTAACATTTCGGATAACCCATTTGACGATAGTCGGAAATAGAAATATCCAATTCTAACATCAACAGTAACAAAAAAAAAAGATAGAATGTAACAAATAACTATTCACTATCGATGCAGGAGAGATAAACACGGATTTTGGGACAATAGTCCAATCCATATGAAATTTTTGGGACAAAATTACTGAGCAAAATCCTACAAGCTAACAACGTCTGAGTCTCCCACCAATCCATCCCTCAACTCGAATCAAAGAAGCTCCATGTTGACTCACTAGACACCCATCAACTTCTTTGAACTCGTGGGGCCTTTTCAAGTGAGAAACCATTTGCCATCACAATCCAAAGTGCTTAAATTTGATTGAGATTCCTTAGTTGCTACTGATGGCTAAATGAGGATATATATATAGTAGTTAGCTAGAGAATGAGTAACTAATTAACTACCAATGTACATCTGAGTATCTGACACAGCAGAGCAGAGCAGAGCAGAGCAGAACAGAGCATGCATGTTAATTGATGAAAGCTATGGCACATTGTTTCTAATATATTTATAACAAAATGGTTGGCGCAGAGCAAGTGGGTATTTCTCGAAGAAGAGATGCGGAATTCACGTGCATTTGTTTCTATTGCGTACAAAATAAACATATTTCTTCCATCTCTTGAATTTTGCTCTGTTCCACAAGACAAGCATCGAGCCTGTTGTCCCCTCCCCTTTTGCTGTTAAGCGTTCACATGTTTCAGTTTCAGTTAGCTTACCAACTCATCATAAGCAATGGGCAGGCACCCATTGGAAAATTTATTAAGTTATATTGCAGAGACGAAATGCTTGCTTTCGGATCCACCTTCCCCACCAAACTAACAAGAGCTTCAACCGTTACTTAGAGCTTCACGATTCTTTTTAGGCTCTTGATGTCTATGTCGATCAGATATTCATATTTATGATCGTAATTTGTATACGTAATTTCACTCCCTTTTCTTCGTTGATATAGATGAACACATACAATCTACGATTCTTATTAGTGAATAGCGCAGTGGAAAAGTTGAGTGAATCTCTATTATGATTGGGAACTCAAAAGTGTCAAACCAATACACAAAAGAGGGAAACATAGGAGCATGATTCATAAAATATTAGTTGCATATTGCTAAGGGGGGAAAAAATACCCGGTATCATAAAACATTATGGATCGTCTGAATGAGATTTTTAAACTGAATAATTTTGACCGCAATCACTCATCCTAAAAAATCGGAATTATGTATCTATGAAATTTCAGTTAAATTTATATTCGAGATTTGGGATTTCAATGAAAGAAGTTAAAGTGCATTCATGTCCTCTTTGTAGTACCTTCTTCCGCCCAGCTACCGAACCCCCTCCCCCCCTGCGTCAACGAGGTCACGATAGGAGTTGACTCCAATCGCGTCTATGTGACCCTTGTATGGAGCAGGAAGACTATCAGAAGTTGATTTTTCGGAAAAGCGATGGCGTGAGATGTGGAGGAAATCACAATCAACGTCAGGTGCAAATTGGAGGAGTCAGTGGAAGATGGGAATTAGCGACAGTGGGTGTTGAATGGCACCAACAACGGATTTAGAATTCTCGTGGGAGTAGGAACCCAACCCGAATCGTGACTCACTACCGATTCCTTGTCGGTGTGGAAAGAAGGAGGGATTAAGAGTGAAGTTGAGTGATCGACTAATCGGAGAAAAGGAAGAAGTCGGACCAGAGAAGGATTAAGTTTTGAGGGCAAAAATAAGAACGAAATATCTCAAAATAGCATGTGGGGATCAACAATTTCAAACACTCTCAATTGATATAAATATGCAACCTAGAAATTTATCAGATTTTCAAAAGAGCTATTATGTTAACAATCCATAAGTTTGTGAAATTGTACCAAAATCGTTCGATGAGATCCTCATCCAGACCATCTCCACAAAGGGGCGGAGCTAGCATGGAAGAAGGGGGTTCCATGACACCCTTTGTCTTGTCATTTCAACAAGAAAAAAAATATATACCTGAAAATGGAACCATTTAGAATATAAATAAGCAAGAAAATATATATATACCTGAAAATGGAACCATTTAGAATATAAATAAGCAAGAATTGAAAAATCGTATCGAAGGTTGTATCAGAAAATTCAACGACGGGGTATTTCATGCTGAAAGAATGGTTCAACAGTTTAATACTGTTAAAAAGTTTTTTTTATGTTGAACCGCCGGTACTACACGATTTTTCAACAATCCTTGGAATAAGTACTCAATTGCACCCTCGAGTTAGTTGTTTGGTAGAAAAAATTAATACTTTTTTATCAACTTACAATAAAAATTAAATTTTTTATTAAAAAATTCACCAAAGACTAATTAGCCTTAAATTAACACCCACACTACTAAATTCTAATTCTCTTGTTGCTGACCTTTCCTACAAAAAATCTCAATATTTTATGTTGAATAAGCGATAATATCATAAGTTCTCCTTTTTTATGAGACATTACAAATAAAATTCTCGATAACTAACCTTTTCAAAATATTAAAAAAGCTATGACATATTTTTAAACTGGAACCCACTTACATCAAATCCTAATTACGCCACTTTTTGAGATGATGTCCTCAATTCCATTAAACTTAAAATCATTTACAAAATTATAATTTTCAGTCACTATTTGATCCTTAAATTGTTCAAAACCATTCGTTTTTACTATTTATAAAGATAAAGAAACAAAAATGCTTTTGACATGCCTACATATTTTGTTTTATTTTCTCAGACCCAGCGAAAAATATATATACAAAACAAAAGGCAAGGGGCCGTGGTAAGTAGACAGCTGTAAATTTGCGGGGTTAGCGTGACGATATAAACGCCGACGAAACTTACCCGCCGCGGAACCGAGTGCTGACCAACCGTAGGCGCCGAGTCCGAATCCGAGTCCGACGCATAAAAAATGACGACGACGTCAAAGCAATTAAGACACGTGGCCGTACCGCGGAGGTCGTTCCGCCTTGCGTGGAAGCACCACAGCGCGACACGTCAGGTAAACTTAGGTGCTCTTTTGGTGGCATCTACGGAGTGTGATGCCAGCGCGGGAAAATTGATTAGCTGGCGGGAAAGGAAGGAAGACAGAAGAAGCACCAAAGCAAAGCGAAAAGCGGCTTCCTGATTGGACGAGGGAGTTTTCTTTTCTGTCTACTTTTGTTTTTTTTTTCTGTGGGCCAAAAAGAATGGGGACATTGACGGAGTCAGACGGCGAGTCGCAGTTTCAACTCGGTTCTCTCTATCTAATCAATCTATTCTATCCTTTTCTTCCCTGTCCAATCAATGGGCTCCATTTGTTTTTTTCCCGTTTCCCACTGCCGTCCGGTCCAGAGTCCAGTGCCATCTCTGTTCCGTAATTCTCCAGCCACAGATTCGCGTATCATATAGATGCCGCTTTATACTTCGATATTGATTTTGCTAATTTCATACTGACCATTTATAACAATTGTTTTGGGGTCATGATTGTATTGGTTCTCCTGCTATTTCTTAATTTTTGATTGATCACCGAATCACTAGGGATGGCAATCGCGGGTACCCGAGGTCGTTTGGATGTGGAAATGTAATGCAGTAATTGGATCCAATTATTAGAGATATTAGAGAATAAAAGTTGATTTTTTATTTTTCATTCTTTTATTCTTTCTGTTAGGCCACATCTCCCCTGTTCCTAGTTGTGGGGAACGTGGAGCTCATTCTGTTCCGATTCTTTCTCTCTTCTTCTGTATATCTAGACGATCAGTTCAATCAATGTAACCATCTCAGAAATTCCAGTAATACAATCCTTCTAAATATTCCTCACATGGTATCAGAGCAAGCAACAGATTGCTAGACTCGATCCACTCATAGACAAATTCTTTCCCCTGTTTCAGCGCTTCTTCTTCATCAATTTCTTCCCCTGTTTCGGCACTCCTTCGCTTATCGACATCATGTCTGGTTCTGATATTTCAAGTGCTAATCAGTCATTGACAAATGATGACTCCATTATCACCTTCAATCCGGCTGCTCAATTGCCCTTGAAGCTCACTCCGACGAATTTTCACTCGTGGCGTTCAAAACTGGAAACTCTGCTTATGGGATTGGATCTTATTGGGTTTATCGACGGTTCAAGTGTGGCTCCTGCTCAAACGATCATGGCAGACACAGTCACCTCTCCCAATCCCGCATTCCGTCGCTGGTATCGCCAAGACAAACTCATTCTTCATGCTCTTCGTTGTTCCATATCTGAATCATTATACTCCTATGTATCTGCTGCCGCCACATCTCGAGAGGCATGGTTGATTTTAGAAAAACTCTTTGCAAGCCGCTCTCAGTCTCGCATCATTACTCTCCGAGGAAAACTAGCAGCCACTACCAAAGGCGGTCAAGATGTGGTTACTTTTGTCAATGAGTTAAAACTCATAGCTGCTGAATTGGCTCTCATTGATGAGCCCGTCAAAGATCTGGATTTGGTGGTTCATTGCCTTCGGGGCCTTGGGGCGGAATACAATCAATTTGCCACCGCTGTTCGTGCCAGGGGATCTCCCATCTCCATCGAAGACCTCCTCGATTCCCTTGTAGAGTTTGAAGCGGATCTGAAAGTGCAGGCCCGAGCGCAGGCTGTTCCCACGACGTTCTTTTCCCAGGGTCAATCTCGCCGGGGTAGCAGCAGCGGTGGCTTTGGCGATGGTCAAGGCCGCTCTTTTTCAAACGGCGGCCGTAGTGACTCAGCTGGATATTCTCTTTCCAGCGGCATCAATTTTTCCCAGCGCCCTTCTTCCAATCGGCCGCCGCAGGGGTTTCAGCAAGGCCCACCAGGCCCATTTCAGCATTCCCGTGGCCCAGTGCTCGCTGCTGAGCCAAATAGGCCTCGTCGGCCCACTGTCACTTGTCAGTACTGTGACAGGCCTGGACATTCAGTCCGTCAGTGTTTTAGACTATTTCCGCAGGCCCGTCAGGCATTCTCTTAGGCTCGTCAGGCCCAAGTTAATTATACTACCACTTCTGGCCCAACCTCCTCTTCCGGGCCATGGCTCATGTACACTGCTGCCTCACATCATGTCACTTCTGACCTGGGCAACTTATCCATTTATTCTGACTATACGGGTCCTGATGAAATATTAGTTGGTGATGGATCAGGTTTGGCTATCTCCCATATTGGGTCTTCTCAAGTCTCTGTTGGTTCTCACATGTTTCATTTACAAGATGTTTTATGTGTTCCTGCTATCAAGAAACATTTAATCTCCGTCGCCAAACTCTGCCAAACTAATCCGGTCTCTGTGGAATTTTTTGCTACTCATTTTGTTGTGAAGGATCTTCGCACGGGGGCGCAGCTGCTGAGGGGGGAAAACAACGGTGATGTGTATGAGCTACCACGTGAATTAGAGCATGTTCGACTGGCTTTGGTTACTACTCGCACTTCCGCTGATTCTTGGCATGCTCGTCTTGGTCACCCTTCGCTTCAATCTCTTACCAGCCTGCTTCAGTCTTTTTCTCTTCCTGTTTCGTCCGCTCTCTCTAGTTCACATTGTGATGCATGTCTTTCCAATAAAAGCCACAAATTGTCATTCTCTATTTCCACTTTATCAAGTGATAGGCCCTTTGATCTTTTATATACTGATGTTTGGGGTCCTGCTCCTATTACTTCTATTGATGGATATTGCTATTACTTGATTATTATTGATCATTTTACCCGCTACACCTGGTTTTACCCATTACGCAAAAAATCAGATGTTCTTCAGGTTTTTCTTGACTTTCGCAATATGGTTGAGAATTATTTTTCTACCACTATTCGGCGTCTTTACACGGATGGTGGTGGTGAATTCCAAAAATTGCATTCTGATTTACTCCATAATGGCATTACTCATCTTCTCACACCACCTCACACTCCTGAACATAATGTCCTAGCGAAAAGGAAACATCGTCATCTTGTTGCAACTGGTATTACTCTTCTTCATCATGCTCACCTTCCCACCAATTTTTGGTCCTTTGCTTTTTCTACCGCCATCTACCTTATCAATCGTCTACCATCGGCCGCCTTACGTGGTAAAATTCCTTATTCTCTCCTCTTCAATTTACCTCCCAATTATCATAAACTCAAGGTTTTCGGTTTTCTTTGTTACCCTTGGCTTCGTCCTTACGCGTCTCACAAGCTTGATCCGCGATCTCGACCATGTCTTTTTCTTGGGTACTGTCCTCAACGCAGTGCTTATCGATGCTTTGATCCCCAAACTCACCGCATTTTTCTTTCTCGCCATGTTTTTTTCGTGGAATCCAATTTTCCAGGTTTCAAAGATATCTCTCTGGCTCCACCACCCTCTAGAGATTCTTGGCTCTTTGATTTTCTTCCACAGGTCACTACTTTACCCGCTCGGTCAGCTCCGGCCTCTACACATCATCCGTCGGCCCCCTCTTCATCAGCAGTGCCTCCGCCGGATCCTTCTCCTCCTGGGCCCGCGTCACCTGGGCCCTCCTCATCCGCCCGGCCCACTACAGCGGCCCCTTCCCCTCGACCGTTCGCTACTGGGCCGCCTGCCCCAGCTACTCCACCCTCCGGCCCACCTGCCTGCCTTGGCCCCCCGCCTCCAGTCCAGCGCTCTCATCCCATGAGAACTCGGGCCCAGGATGGGATCTTCAAGCCCAAAAAGCTGCTCTTTCACACTTATCTGCAGGATGGTTCTCCGCCCCTCGAGCCCAGGTCTGTTCGTGAAGCCCTCCGCTTTCCCCAATGGTCTGCGGCCCTTCATCTTGAAAATAATGCCTTGCTTGCTAATCATACTTGGGACCTTGTGCCACGCCTCCCTCATTATAATGTGCTTGGTAATCGTTGGGTTTATCCTGTTAAGCACAATTCTGATGGCTCTATTGAAAGGTTCAAAACTCGTCTTGTAGCAAAGGGCTTCCATCAGCGTCCCGGCATCGATTTCACCGATACATTCAGCCCGGTTGTCAAGCCTATGACTGTTCGCACTGTTTTCACCCTGGCTCTTTCTCAAGGCTGGTCGATTGCTCAATTTGATGTCAATAATGCCTTTCTTCAAGGCCCCTTGCAGGAAGAGGTTTATATGGAGCAACCACCTGGTTTCGTTGATCCCACTCATCCTCACCATGTTTGTCGTCTTCGACGGGCTATTTATGGACTTCGTCAGGCTCCTCGGGCTTGGTATACTGCCTTGAGTGATTTTCTTCTGGAGTTTGGTTTTCACAAGACCCAGTCGGATGCCTCTCTATTTGTGTACTCTCGCGGCCCGACTCTTCTCTATTTTTTGGTGTATGTCGATGACTTACTTCTCACGGGCAATGATACTGCTCTTCTCACTACCTTTCAACAGGCGCTTTCTCGTCGATTTTCTCTCAAGGCTCTCGGTGATGTCAGCTATTTCCTTGGTATTGAGGTTATTCCTACCTCTGCTGGTTATATTTTATCTCAGCGTCAGTACATGGTCGACCTTCTTCATCGTTTTATGATGACCGATGCCAAGGCTGTTGATACGCCCATGGCTGCTTCTACTGCTCTCTCTCTCTCACTGATGACAGTCCTGCCTCTGATGCTACACGGTTCCGTCAGGTTCTTGGTGCTCTGCAGTATCTTGTCTACACTCGTCCAGACATTGCCTACTCTGTCAACAAGCTTTCTCAGTATATGCATGCTCCCACGACTCGTCACTAGCAATGTGTCAAGAGGCTACTCCGCTATGTCTCTGGCTCCCTCCACTATGGCCTCTGTATTCGGCGCTCTGACGGCCCTTTATCTCTGTCTGCTTTTGCTGATTCTGATTGGGCTCGGAATCTTGATGATCGCTCCTCCACCTCGGGCTACCTCATTTATCTAGGCCCCACTCTTATTTCTTGGCGTTCTCCAAAACAACGCACCTTGGCCCGTTCCAGTACCGAGGCTGAATATCGTGCTATTGCTCATGCTACTGCTGAACTCGAATGGATTCAAAATCTGCTGCTCGAACTACGGTATCCCTTACCGTCTACTCCTGTGCTCTATTCCGACAACCTTGGTGCCACCTACTTCAGCTCCAATCCGGTCTTCCACTCTCGCATGAAGCACCTTGCTCTCGATTATCATTTTGTTCGCCAGCTGGTGAAAGCTGGTCGGCTTCGCATTTCCTATGTTCCCGCCTCCCATCAACTAGCCGACGCTCTTACCAAGCCTTTACCGTCCACCCGGTTTCTTCTCTTACGATCCAAGATCGGCGTCGTTGATACCTCCACCGTCTTGCGGGGGCGTATTAGAGATATTAGAGAATAAAAGTTGATTTTTTATTTTTCATTCTTTTATTCTTTCTGTTAGGCCACATCTCCCCTGTTCCTAGTTGTGGGGAACGTGGAGCTCATTCTGTTCCGATTCTTTCTCTCTTCTTCTGTATATCTAGACGATCAGTTCAATCAATGTAACCATCTCAGAAATTCCAGTAATACAATCCTTCTAAATATTCCTCACACAATTTACCACATAATGCAGTAATTGGGTTAAAAACCCACGTTTGGGAGAGCAAAAAGAGTATGGGAATTGGACCATGGAAATTGGCTTCAATTACCACATTCATGGTAATTGAGAATACTACACCTCCCCCTAGTAATTTGACATTACCATGTTTTCTTACTTCTTTTTTCAAATTCCACACCATCAATTCCCACAAAACTAAACCCTATCCAAACATGACTTTTTTTCAATTTCCACATGTCAATTCATTGGTTTTGTAAAACATGGAAATTTAGACAAATTCCAATGTTTTCAAATTTCCACATCCAAACGAAATGGTACAATCCCAAGTCTCATCCATTTATAATATTACGGGTAATATGGGTACCCGTAACCCTTAAAAAACGGGACGGGTACGGATATACCCAAATACACGTTTCCCGTTGCCCACCCCTAATCATCCATACCATAGGAATCCTCGCACACTACTTCACAATCCAAATCGTTAGACACCCTAACTATGTGATACTCGCAAGTAGGGGTGGGATCTTGATTTGGTTTGATTAAACCAAATCGAAAATTTAAAAATTGAAACAAGTTATTTTCATGAAATTGAGACCAAACTGTTAAGGTGGTTAACGGTTTTGGTTTTTTAACCGAAAATCGTCAAGATCTCTCATTATTTTGGTTTGGTTTCAAAAAATCAAAAATCGAATGTATTATGTAATGGATGCTTGTATATTGGGTAGTGTTTTTGGTTTCTTATCTATTTTTGTGTTTTAACCAACGTCAAAAATCAAAATTGATAAGTACAAAAAGGCTTGGTATCTATACCAAAAATCGGTAAGAACATGCACCTTATTAGTTTGATTTTGGTGTAAATTGAAAATTGAAACCGAACTGACTGCCCTACTCATAAGCGGTGGATGATCATTTGATACACTTTTTCTTTGTCACATATATATCATAAGGGGACAAATAGATACAAAATAAAGTATTTACAAACAACATGCACAAAACATATAATAAAAGAGAAGACATGGACGCAAGACAAACTATGGATAGAACATTTTTTTTTCCACGAAATGAACAACTCTTTGATACTTCTTGGCATGTGCAAAATCCTTAACTTAAATTCTACTATTTGCAGGATGGTAGATCATGCAACAAATCCCACCAAGGAGATGAAAGCATTGCAACAAACTCCTCAAACCGAATAGAAAAAAAGTATGGTTCAAATAGGCACGCTTAACCTTACGCTTAGGCACACCTAGGCGCAAGGCAATGGCAAAACGCCTCACCTAGGGGTTTTGCGCCTAATTAGATACTAGAATACGTCGATGGAGTAAGGCGACATAAAAGTCTCTCCTAAGCATTACTAGATGGAGCTAGGAAGTCAATATCAAAGTAGAAAATTAACATCAACTACGAAATCAATTTTCTATATCAATATTTTCAATAGCTTAAGAACTTTGTGAGCTATTGTGCTATGATTTTATGAATTTGTGAGCTATGTTTTTGACATTCAGTGTTGAGTAAGTTATTAATCATTTTAACTGAAGTGAGAAAGTGTTGGAGATTATTATTTCATTCATCATGTTGTGCAAATAGCTATTTTCTTCCAGCGCCTAGGCACGCTTAGTTTACGCCTAAGCGAGCTAGGCGCTAGGCAAAGGCTCAACGCTCGCCTTACGCCAAGCGCCTTTTTTAACCTTGGAAAAAAGAGCACTCCGACTAGAGAGCATAGCGTACACATTAACCATAGTAGAATTGTCAAAAATCATCCATCGTAATAGTTGTCGGCCATGGATTTTGAACTTCAGACCTCTGGATGGGGGATAATGATCATCCTACCGACAGTCTAAAGTATAAATCGTTGTTCATCCAATATTTTATAAATGGATCTTACACTGTTCCTGTATAACCTCCCTCCAGCGAAATTTAATATCTCTAGATTTGAAGTTTGCATAAACCTCATCACATACATGCGTTTAAAATAAAACATCTATATTAGGGTTACCACCGAGAGTCAAACAAACTTAAGGTTGGTAAAACTCAACTAGTACTGCTAAAAAATTAGTTAATTCCAATAACTCAAATTATTAGAAAATATGCATGAATAATCTTATATCAATTCTATCAATCACAACTTAGGGACGGACTCCTACAAAGAACTGTTACGAAAGCCCATCTTGCCGATATACTACCAACTGAGTCCCTATCTATCTATTAGCTAGGATGTCCACATTGGATGGAGACATGGGGCCAAATATAGCATAGAGCTTAGAAGGGACAGAAGTAGTGGATGGATAACCAAGTCCCTCATTAGGACTTAAAAAGAGAGAAATGTGACATTTCCATCTTAAGGGGAATAATGCATCAGCAATAGCTACAACCAAACTGATTCCCTCTCCCACTCACACCTACCCTATGCACAAAGAAAGAAAGAAAGAAAGAAAGAAAGAAGAATCCATTTGCTTTATTTGAAGAACATCATTGACATAAACAAATGAAAAGGGCACAATCTTGCAATATAAAAATTAGATCCTTGATTAGAAGTTTCCAGGGTATGGGTGATATGGAGGGGCAGATAAGGACACATTACAGCTCATGGGTAGGGATGCCCTCCATTACTTTGTCCAATTGTATGTATGGCAATGTTGTGGTTGGGTTTGTTTTGTTCACCAAGAAAGCAAAATATATTTAAAGGGTTCATATAAGTATATGTATGTTAACAGTTTCCAATGAAATGAGGATAGAACTTAAAAGTGCTTTGCTGATTAAGACATCACTGATCATCAGCTACTGTTTTGTTGTTACCAAGTGTTTTCAATTAGTTTAGTGGTCATTGATGCTTGTAATCTATGGATAAGGGTGCACGATAATTGAGTTTGTCCTAAGAAATCAAATTGATGTTTATAACGATTTGTGCGAAATTGAACAAGGCATAATCTAAACTCTGGTTTTCTAAAGGGGCATTTTGGATTTTGGCTCCATAAATTTCTTCAAACCAAAACAAAAGACATATATTAGTGAAGTAAGACGAATTGAATGCATGAATTGGATTGAGCAACCCCATAGTCATATGTTGTCCTCAAATTAACACGTCTGTCAAACGATATTGTCCGCTTTGGATCAAACCCGCACGATTTTACTCTTGGGTGTCCTCCCCAAAAGGCTTCGTACTAATTGGAATAGGTGGACACTAATATGCAAAGGTCTCTTCCCTTGCATTACCGATATGGTACTTGGATTGTGCCATAACAACGTCAAACCACACTGGCTTACTCGAGGTGAACTATCTAATTCAACTAAGATTATCGTTGTTCAATAGTTGTATACCCAACTTCGTTAAACGGTCAATCCCATGATATATTGTAAGACGAAATGGTCACCAGTGATTCGTAGGGATGGCAATGGGTCGGGTCGGGCACGGATAGTGCATATCCGTTAGCCTACCCATAGTAGTTCGGGTTTTACCCATACCCATACCCATACCCACATGTGAAACAGGTAGAAAATCAAAACCATGGCCATACCCGTTCGGGTTTCGGGTATCCACGGTTATCCATGAATAATAATTTATTTTCATAACTCCAACCAATATGTTAACATTCAAACGTAATCTCAAATTACGTAAGAGGAAAAGTACGACAATAATTTACTAGAATGAAGAAATTAATTAAAACTACACAATTTCATAAAAATATTATATTTATATTCTTAACATAAAATATGTTAGAAAAAAATCATGATTATTTCTAGACAAAATGCATATGCATGTGTATAATGGGGCGGGTTCGGGTTGGATAGTGAGAAACCCATGCCCACCCATTACCCGCAATATTCGGGTTTGGGTTTTACCCGTACCCACTAAATATCCTTTGGGTTCGGGTTTTACCCTACCCAATTAGGCCGGATTCGGGCGGATATCCACGGTTACGGGGTTACCCGTAAATACCCGTTTGGGTAATATGGGTACCCGTTATACCCATTCAAAAGGCAGATGGAATTTCAGCCCACAGTGACTGAGCGGCACAGCCCAGCCCAATTCCCTTTCGGCCTTTCAATTCCTGCCTTTCAATTTCAGTCTAAGACAGAGAGACAGTCAGCGACAGCCGACAGCGACTCAGGCTCAGCGAGACCTAGCGCTCCGCCTTCGCGCGACCGCGCCTCCGCTCCCTCCTTCGTTCACCGCCGCGGGCCGCGGCAGCAGGCTTCCTTCTTTTCACCCGGCGGCCAGCAGTAGCCAGGTTTCCTTCTTCTCACCCGAACTTTTGCAGTGGGAGAATGGCAGCAGCAGCCATTCCAAACTTTTGCTATGCTAATACATGTTTTCTCTGTGGAATGTATTAGAATAGCTGCCTACTCCGAACTTTTGCTCCCACTATCATTTCTCTGCTAATACATGTTTATGTAGTGGGTTTGGGATGTAATTGTCTTTAGCTAAAACGTCATCTGGTTTTAGGACATGTTTTGAAATGAATGCTTGTGTATATAGAGATTGAATTTATGTTTTTGATCATATCGTGTTCTTATTATTCCCCGCAAGAGCATGTCATTATAAAGATATGTAATGTGATGTCATTTAAATTTTGGGTATTTATGGGTAGTATGAGTACCCATTATCCGTCCCGTACGAGTAATGAGTACCCGTTTCCAATATGGGTTGGGGATATGGGATGAACTTTTGATTTCCAAATGAGACTGGGTACCCGTTTAAAACGGGACGGGTATCCCAACTCTAACGAGACATGGAATGGAAGTGGGGAGAAAGTGGGTAAATCTTGTTTATTAAACTCCCAACTCTAACGAGACACAACGGAACTAGAGAACAAAAGCTTTGGAAAACCTGCCGTATACACAGTAATGATTAGGAAAACGAACTTAATTAACTTATACACTTTTCATTTTCTTCTCTTCCAAAATCTCCACCAAAGGTATGTACTTATCTTTCACCGACTTGCATATCTTTGTCAGCTCCGTTGATATAATAATGTTGGACAACGATATTAATTGCGTGTGTGAAAAGGTGCCCATTTTCACTGTTCCTGGTGTTGAATTGGTATTTACGTTACATCCTACAAGGCTACAACACATTGCTTGTCAATTTACAGCATGAGGAAATAGGAGTGGATTTTGGTATTGTCTGCTAGCTTTTATGGAAGCAAAGGAACGAAGAGATAATTGATGGGAAGAACTACTCTAAAGATGGCCTGCTGGTGAGAATCCAGGCCTGGTTCAGAATTGTCCAACAAGCAAAGGAGGACAGCAGGAAGACGTCTAGCTTCCAGAAGGTGTCTCCCACCATTTTGTACATTGGCTGGGAGCCTCCAGAAATGGGATGGATTCAACTGCAATCTGATGGATCTGTCCTAGCACAAACTGGAGCTGCAGCTGCAGGAGGACTTCTCAGGGATCACCTGGGACACTGTGTGGAAGCGTTCACCTGCAACCTTGGGAGGTGCTCCATCACTGCAGCAGAATTAAAAGGTGCGGTTGAAGGACTTAAGATTGCTTGGAACAGGGGCTATCGAAAGGTTCACCTCAAGATGGACTCCACTACAGCAATTGAGATCATAAGAAACAGAGAGAATGAAGATCACAGACATGGCAGCATTGCTAGCCAATTCAGACAACTCCTCAACCTTGAATGGGAGGTTAAAATCGATCACGTGTACAGAGAGGCCAATTTTGCAGCCGACTACTTGGCGAATCTCGGCCATGATTTCCATTTTGGTACACACAATCTCAATGTGCGAGATTCTGGTTTAGTTCAATGGCTTTGCCATGATGTATTGGGAACATCCCATGAACGTTCTGTTAATATGATATAGACGCTATTTGCGTCACTCTTTCTACCAAAAAAAAGAACTTTTTCTCTTCTAAAAAACATTGGAGGTATATGCATGCCTATATCGTGTAACATATAGGGTGGTTTGGATGGAGTATATGTATGAGTTATTTGCGAGTTACACAAATAACTCATTTGGCAGCGTTTTACTGAAATGAGTTATTTGTAAATAACTCATACCCCATGTGTTATTTCAAAATAACTCGTTTTACCACTCTGCTTTTACCAAATACCACATGTCAAATTAGAGATGGCAATTTCGACCTGACCCGATTTATCCGACTTGTTTGACCTGTTTTGGGGCGGGTCCGACCCGCCTCGTAGGCGGGGCGGGGTAGGAATGGGTACCTCTCATCGACCTAACCTGCCTTGACCCGCCCCATTCTCGACCCGTTCTGGCCTAAGTTACATGTAATCTTAGTCAAATTACTTAGGATTTTCCTCTTATTACATCATATTTTAGGTATAAGTTGTAAATAAGTGAAAAACTCAAATTCTCCAACAATTTAACTACATTTTATCAAATTATGATTTCTTTCTTGATCTTTTAATTAAAATAATGAATAATTCTAATGTTTTTCGCATAAATTATATACCCAATGGGTCGACCTGCCCCGACCCGCGCCCCATGATAAATTACCCGACCTGCCACAGGACGGGTATGGGTATCGAGATACCCGCCTCGGACCTGCCCCATTGCCATTCCTGTTTCAGATACCGCATTTTCATGGTTCAACCAAACGAGACACTTTATTTCAATTACCACCAAAATAACACTGAAATACCACATAAACAATAAATGAGTTATTTGACTCTACAAATACCACATTGAGAATTAACCCATCCAAACGACCCTAAATGAATTGTATTCATAATGTTTAATTAGTCAGGATCTCACTCGAAAGTAAGTGTACAACATAGAATTTGTATATCGGAAGCTCTTTTTTTTTATAATGGTGAAGCTTGCATTAAAGTAAGAAAGGGTCTGGGTACAAAGAGAAAAACGAGCAAGAGAAGGGGTCTCACAAGGCGTGAGTCGCCCAACTAAAGCCAGGGAAAAGAAACAAAAATCGAACTAAGAACAAGAAGCTGCAGGGCAGCAGATCGGCACCAAAACACAGCAGAACAGATGGGAAAAACAAAGGAGCTTCAGCCCACATCCTCAACAGCCCACCGAACAGCCGAGAGCGAACACTCCAGCGAAATCCACAGCATCCAGCAGCTACCTCAATAGCTGTCAATCTTGCCAAAGGCCGCCAACCACTCCGCCACTGCACGAGAGCTCCTCTGCTGAATGTACGCCTCGCTGTGGTACGAGTCCCTGAAAATTCTCCGATTTCTTTCCAACCAAACATTCCAGCAAACAGCATGAAGAGCGCAATACACAAACCACCTATCAGGGCTGTCTGGTTCGCTTATCTCCCACCTGCGGATGGTTGAAACAATGTCACCAGAAGGGGGGACGATAAGTCTGCACATAAGCTTGGTGCGAGCCCACACTTGCTTGGCAAAATCACAATCAACAAAAATGTGGTCAGCAGTCTCTTCGCGGCGCGCACACAGAGCACATCTACTTGCCAGCGACCAGCCTCTGCTTTTGAGGGCGTCCATCGTAAGGATCTTCCTGTGAGCGACCGTCCACATGAAGCAGCACACCTTGGGAGGAACAATCTTCCTCCAAACCGACTCAACCGGGAACTGCGGCACACCTGGAAACAGATTCCTCGACAGTGACCTGTACATGGAGCGAACAGAGAAAGATGACTCTGGGGACGGCGACCAGACGAGTCTGCTCGGCCCACAAGTCACTCGAGATGCATCAACAGAATTAAGAAGCTCAAACAAAGCGACCCTTTCCCTCTCAGCCCCCCCTCTCAAACTAATAGAAAGATTGATATCCCATTGGACTCTCTCACCTGAAAAGGAAACAGTGTCGGAGACCCAGGCATTAGGACTTGTTGCGGCAGCAGCGACCCGTGGGAAAGTGTCAGCAAGAACGACTTCTGGAATCCAGCAATCATGCCAAAAGGAAACTCCGGCTCCTCCCCCCGGATCAATGTAGGCTCCGGAAGCTCTTTTTTGAGCTTAACGATTTTTTTTTTCTTGTGATGTTTTGTGGTATATAGAGCATTATCGTGCTTTCGTAAGTAACTCACTAGCTCTCTTACGGGTTATCTTTAAATGTGAGAGAATGATGTTATTTTTCATGAGAAAGCATCACATCTTCACTTTTAATTTATAATTTATCGATTCTCAATATGTCAAAAAAATTTCAAATTACGTTGTTTATTTGATGACCGTGACACAACAAGTCCAACTTTTACCTAGATCATATCGGCAAATTTTATTATCTCACAAGTATAGCCGACATTGTTAACCCCTGTTTCTGTTTGAACCATACACAATAAGAATGAAAAACAAAGGAACCAACAAAATGCATACTCTTCGGAAAGAGTCAAACAATGGGAATTCGTATATGTTGAATGAAATCTATGGAATTTTTTTTAATCTTTATCTTCACAACTCTTTCTCTTATTTAATTGTCCTTAACGATTTCACGCACGTGGTACCTTATAGTATTAGTGATAAAAACATAATCATAAACAAATGTAAAAAAATCCGAGTTTTAAGAAGTAACCGACAATATACTATTGGTACATCTCTACACAATATATCATAGTGGATAAAGTTTTTGTTACATTTCAAATTTATTGCAACCATATTTAAAGTAGGAAGATTAATTTGTATTTATAATTATGTACTTATTTGTTATTTACATAAAAGAATTCATCAGTATTGAGATTTGAATAAGAGTCTCATCCATTGTTTCATCAAGCGGTTGAGGACATAATTCCATATTATCGAGTATATATCAAGAACATCACATAACAATCCGCTGCATAAACAGTCAATAATAATATAGATGAAATAGTGTCATACTAACTAAGCGAGTCGCAATGTTTAACTCGTTCGTGGGTCAATATCAGTAAGGTTTCTCCGGCTTGGATTTTTCTTCCACTACAAGGAGGAAACCTTTAGCTAAGCTAGGAATATAATGTGTTACGGGAAATTATACTTGTATTCAAATCAATGGAAAATTCATCCGAGTGGGTTGATTGATAGAAAGCCCAAATAAAAAATGCACCAAAAAGTGCAAGCCTTTTCATCAAAAGTGGATGTTCTAATCTCGTTTGGTGCATGCATTGTTGTAGTTGTATATTGCGTTAGCTTAATAATTATAGTGCGGGATTAACATACATAATTTAATTAGACGCGTCATTAACCTTGGAGTAACGTTTGACGTTCCCATATGGCCGCCGGTTAAAATAAACAGAATAGAAAAGACTAAAACCTAGACTAGCCTACAATTCTGTGCCACATCGGGAAGGACGGAAAAAGTCCTGACGGCAAAGTTCGCCCAGCTGGAAACTATTGTATTTGTTGTTATTATTCCTCCCAAGTCCAAAAAATGTCAATAGGGCATCCAATGCCAAATGATTTCCTTAACCGAGTTTCACTTTCATACGATTTTGTTTATGATATACTGAACTTGTACATTAAACGTTATCATTTAAATTCAATTTCTATTTAGAATCACTTGTCATTATGAGCAAGGTAAAATTCCTCCTAATTTATGTATTCAACTCTCCCTCTTTTCAGACTTTCTCTTTTTGTTCATTTGATTTTTTTCTTGTTTTGTTTACAGTTGAATGAGTCCAAATTCAATTAAACAGAGGGAACTGAAGGTACTTTTTTTTGTTTCTTTTAAGTACACAACATCAGAAGTACACTTTGCTCATATCATATGATTGATTGGCTTTGTTCATTGCCGTATGCATGTTTCATAATTGAATGATGCCAACCCGCTGGGATGGGAATATTTGCCCTCCATTCTTGCTTTTGCCACTTTCGTAGCAGACTTATTTTGAAGCCCCTGAATATGCTGAGTGTCTAATGCATTCTTTTTCAGTTGCAGCTTGTTGATGTATAGTAGAGAGGAGAGCAAATATGAGATTGACGAATCCGATAGAACGATACCAAATCAAATCAAGGCGTGCATGACATATTATTTGTCTATGATCTATTTGCTAATGAATCACGAATCAAAGCACATTAAATGGTAGTACGAATAAAGAACTGGTCTAATGACGGTACCACCACCTAGGTTTCAATTTGGATATTCCGATTTCAAATTCTAACACGGACGTTATCTTGTTTCGCCAATTCCCATTTAGCAGGGTGTGAAAATATAGTACTAGAAAGTATAATATTGGAGGGATTTGTGTGAACAAACTGATGATGGGATAGTTGCTATACCACTGTAGTCAACTTCTAATCCACGTTGACTTATGATTGCGGTAGTTGAATTGGAAACAAAGCAAATTGGTTAACCATTGTCCAATGGTAATGGACAACGATTTAAGTCATGTATTTTTAAGTACAAGTTTTTATAAAGCTAGTGGGCACTATGGATATTGAGTTAGGTCTGACCATACGTAGCTTTTCATTGAGTTAGGTTTGACTTTTTTTTTTTTTGTTGCATTTCTACTTGTATAAAAAATGAGAAAGCATCTTGGAAAAAAAATAAAAAATGAGAAAGCATCTCACAACAACTAAATTCAATTATAAAAAGGGTAGATACAATATATTAGGCAAACCTTGTAACATAAAACAGCAAAAGCCCAATGTAGTTTGAACTGGATCGTTGCTGTGTTGGCCTGTTGGGTCCATGCGTTTTGGGCTTCAGCCCTCCCTTCCCAGAGCCCAATCCCTAATGGTTGAGCCCAACAAAACTGACCAACTAACACCAATGGTCAATTTCCCGTGATGGCAAAATGTTGTCGACATAACAGAACAAAATTCCTTAGTCCACAACGTTCCCGTTTTCTCAATTTCAGCCACAAAATATTTGATTTTTCACCCAAATATGTGATTTCCCGTTTTTTGGCAACCTTAATAAAGTTTCTTCCAACACGTATGGATCTCCTTTATGAATCGCCCCACCGGCCTCTTCACAGAACCAGAAAGAAAGAGAGAAAGAAACTGCGCCAAGCGGCAAGCTCTCACTAGCTACCTCTCTGGTTCCAACGATGGCGTCGCTTCTCTCCACTGCCCACTCTTCCCTCTTCTTCACCGCCTCCAAAACCCCTAATTCCACTTCCCCAGTTCACCATCCCTCCTTCCCCAAAACCCTCAAACAATCCTTCGCTTCTCCTCCGCTTCAATCCGCTTCCAGATTCCCCTCCATTCTCCGGCGGGCCTCCGGCGAAGAATCGGAGTCGGAGAGGGTTACCGACGAATGGGGCGAGAAGCCGGAGCCGAAGCCGGAGTACCCGAAGGCTGCCGCGGTGGATCCTCCCGTGAATGAGGATGAGTGGGAGGAGGAGGGATACTCCGCCGCTGCGGTGGGCAACGGGAGCACTGCTCCGTCGGTGGCTGATGGGAAGAAGAAGGTGGGCGACGGTAACGAGGAGCTGAAGAGGAGCTTGGTGGACACGGTGTACGGTACGGGTTTGGGGTTCCGGGCGGGTTCGGAGCTCCGGGCCGAGGTGTCGGAGCTGGTGAGCCAGTTGGAGGCTGTGAATCCCACTTCGGCGCCGGTTGACACGGCTTCGCTGCTCGACGGCAACTGGGTTTTGTTGTAAGTCACCGACTTTCTCGATTGATTGCTATCCAGATTTTCTTAAAATGAACTGTTTTGGATGCGAGTAAGTTGGATATGCTGATGAGTGATGAGAAATGAAGAGATGGGGTTAGTTTGAACATGACGGAATATGCACTCTTTGCAGTCTGATCTTTGGTGTGGTTTAAGCAAGACGTGATTCTTTCAGCCATTAATCTCTGTTAGCTCTGTCAAAGCTCGAATATCAGTATTTGTTCTCTTGATGTTGGATTTCGATGGAATTGTGCCATTCCATCGCCCCTATTCATACCAAATGAGCCCTTAGGAGTTCATTTAGCGTAGAATTAGAATCAATGATCTACTTAATACTTTGATGCGTTTGATATGCTGGTTGTACCGCTCTTGATGTTTTCAACTTCCTGAATACTAGGCGATCGAGGAGACGCTTTGGTTATGTTGACCTAGGAGGGCTTAGGCTTCCTCATTTGTTTATGCCTGGTCTGTGATTAGGCATCATATGTGACACTTCATCTTGGGAATTGCATCCAGCAACATAAGCTTTTGATCTAGACTTCAATGCTATTTGGATGTAATTTGCAGTAATAAACAAATAGCTGTTTTGTGTCAATATGATCGAACGTTGGTCTTACTTCAACTTATAGCACTGTGTTTGAGCAGTCTATTTACATCATCTCACTAGACGAGTCAATCATATGCTCTGGTCAGTGTTATGTACCTAATCCCACACCTCAAGCCACCTCATGGGACGAGATAAATCTAGGGTTTTCCGAAACCTCATTTTTCAAATCCATGAAGCAAACAAACCCTGAATGTCCATGTTAGTTACCTTGACTCTTTGATATTAATGGGATTGATTTGGACAAGGTCCATATTTTGAACTGTGTGAACATTTTACCATGCATATGATTGATCTATTATTTGTTTCCTCTCCATTCGTAATGCAGGTATACTGCAACTTCCGAGCTCTTGCCCCTTCTGGCTGCTGGTTCAACTCCTTTGCTAAAGGTGAAGAGGATAGCTCAGTTGATCAACTCCAGCAATTACACCATTGTCAACTCAACCACATTGTCGAGCCCTTTTGCTGAATTTACATTCAGCGCAACCGCAAACTTCGAAGCCCGAAGTCCTTCAAGAATACAGGTAAAGTACAATAAAACTATGTCCCTTGGAATCCTAGTGGATGATATTATCATGAACTGTGAAGGAAAGTATAGGGCCAGTTAAATCTTTTGGACAGATTATGTTGTTGTAGTTTGTTTGCAATGTCTTTCAATTCTGATCAATATCATTCAACAATTCCTTTCTACTTAGGTTGAATTCAAGGAAGGAACTCTGCAGCCTCCGGATGTAAAAACCAGCTTTGATCTTCCATCCGAAATCGCTCTATTCGGGCAGAAGATCAGCTTGGCCACAGTGCGTCAATCTCTGAGTCCTCTGCAAGACACGGTGGCTACCATCTCGAGAGCCATATCCGGCCAGTCCCCACTCAAGGTCCCCATTCCAGGCAGCCGAACCAGGTCCTGGCTACTGACCACCTACCTCGACGAGGATCTCCGGATTTCAAGAGGTGACGGCGGCCTTTTCGTACTTGCCAAGGAAGGAAGCCCTCTCTTGAATCTGTAACCAGGCAAATATTTAAGTATATACTCACTCTATTGTGCCACCTGATGAAGTACATATACACGGCTAATCGTTGTTGTTGTTGTGGTTGTTTTCGTCGGTTTGTTTCCATTGTAGTAAATCCGACTGTGAGGATTTAAGACATAAAATTGGAGATGATTAACAAAACGTTATACTGAAGTTTTTGTTGAATCCCTTGTACCCTGTATACACGAAGATGAAAGCAAGTTCTTGTTTGTGGGTGAAAGAATGGAGGCTATTGTAATTTGTGTACAATATGATTATGACCACGATAAGAATCAGTCATTGTTATCGAATTATTTCGACCGTTGGAATCGTTGCATTACTTGAATCAAAGATATTAACGAGATAAGCGAATTGGCTTCTGCACAATGATTGTCAATTTTTTTTAGAACACTCGAATCGACAAATATGATTCTGAATATGCATTTAGTATTCGCAACCGATTTGGTTATAACTAATATTGTTTAGTTGGATCTGGGTTAACGGTTAACACTTTGTGTTTATGATTAAATGCATAATTTATATTAGTTGATTAACCGTAATCATATAGTCGGTTTTCGGTTATTTATTTGTTAATCAAATAACCATTAAGTAAGTGATTCGGCAAGGTTATACCAAAATAATTGATTGGTAACCTCACCAATGGAAGACATCCTCATTTTTTTAATCGTGCATTTTTGTAATTTTATGTCTTCTTTTTTTAAGTTGTTATTAGTAAATAGAATATAATTTAGGACTTTGCTACGGTGACATGCACGTCACGGTGTCATGCACTTTTCGGTCGACCTAAATCGGTCGACCTCATGTAGGATTAGGTCGACCTAATCTGTTGTTTCAGTGTAAAAGCAGTTTCATGGTGCCTACTTTGAAGATTCATATCTTACAATTGGCTATATGGAAATTGGAGATTAATGGCTTGTTTTGAAGTTGAAGTGTCCCTCTACACATTAAAGTACTTGGGAGCTCAATAGAAAGTCCAGGAGACCATTTTTGAACCTAATCAAAAGGCTATGCCAAAACTGGAAAACTGCCTGAAAATGGCTAAGTCTGGGAACGTGTTTGTGAAGCTTACTTTGGAGCTCAATTTGAGAAGCATGGATGCGAGTCAAGTCCAAAGGCACCTACCACGTTAAATCAAGTATTTTTTTCTACAAAATCAAGGCATTGGATGAAAGATTGAATATCTTTAAGACTTCAAACAAAAGGCTCGAAGTTGCTACGAAGGCTGTTTTTCTGGCAGATTGCTTGTGCTCGAAGTCTGCCAGAAAAACAGCCTTCGTAGCAACTTCGAACCTTTTGTTTGAAGCCTTACAGATATCCAATCTTTCATCCAATGCTTTGAATTTGTATACAAACATACCTAATTTAACTTGATAGAGGCTCCTCGACTCGCATTCATGCTTCTCGAATTGAGCTCCAAAATAGGCTTCACAAACACGTTTCCAGACTTAGCCATTTCCAGGCAGTTTCCCAGTTTTGGCATAGCCTTTTGATGAGGTTCGAAAATGGTCTTCTGGACTTCCTATCGAGCTCTCAATCACTTCAATATGTAGAGGGACACTCCAGCTTCAAAACAAGCCATTAGTCTTCTATTTCCATCTAGCCAATTGTATGATATGAATCTCCAAAGTAGGCACCATGAACTGTTTTTACACTGAAACAACAGATTAGGTCGACCTGATCCTATATGAGGTCGACCGAATCCTAAATGAGGTCAACCTAATCCTAACTGAGGTCGACCGGAAAGTGCAAGTCACCGTGACATGCATGTCACCGTAGGCGCACCCTATAATTTAACGTAGATATAAATCCATAATCAATTCAATCAAACACAGGCAGACAATAAGACTATTCTATCGTTGATGATTAATGAAGAATACAAGAATAAAAGACACAACAACAATTACTATAAACCCCATCAAATTACATGAAAGGTTAAATGTTAACTAATTGATGTCGAGCTATTGTTCGTAAGTCCAACTTTATACTGTGCTACTTCCAAAACCATTCTTTGAAATTATCTCATTTGACCTAAATCACTATTACATCTAGGGTAGTCAATGGATCTTGCAGGCCTTCAAGTTCAAACATCCCATTATTTACCTGCGACTCGCCTATCATTTCCCGTCCTAACTTTGAGGACGGTTGTAATCGATTAGTTGATTAATCATTTAACCATTAATTAGTAATTAGCTAAATTTGACTATCGAAAACCAACTGTCTATCGTTAACTTGGGGGCCACCCAGCAGGCAGCAGCCTTTTACCTCCGGGAATACCAACGAATCTCATATGGATTCAAACCTGAAATGTGCAACTCTCAAACCGACAGATTTATTTAGGAAAGTTTGATTATTATTACACCGCTAATGATGTTATTATTTACCCTCACTCTATCAAAAGAGAGAAAGAAAATGAATATTTCTAGCCGGCAAAGTAAGCTGAGTCGTCGTGGAGCCAATCACGCCAAACATCCCATTCATTCGGTTAAAGAGTACGACCAAAACGAGAGAAAAGAAAAACGAAATAAAATTACAATTTCCACCGTCTGCCTATCTGTACATAAACCCATTCTCTCTTCCACACTCGTTGACTCCTTCCTTCTGAATTCTCTGATCTTTCCTCCTCCAGCCAGCCAGCTCCCCCAAAATTTCCCTCTCCGCCCTGAAATTGCCGTCGCTCGCCGGCAGTTGAACCCAAATCATGACGAGCAACCGGCCGAAGCTGGACGAGGCACAGATCGCCGACCTCCGGGGAATCTTCCGGTCCTTCGATCGGAACAAGGACGGCAGCCTGACGCAGATCGAGCTGGCATCTTTGATCCGGTCACTTGGTCTGAATCCGAGCTCAGACGAGCTCAAGGCGCTGATCCAGAGGGCCGACACGAACAACAACGGCCTCGTGGAGTTCACGGAGTTCCTGGCGATGGTGGCGCCGGGGATCCAGACGGAGGAGGAGGAGTCGGCGTACAGCGAGGAGCAGCTGAAGCAGCTGTTCAGGATGTTCGATCGGGACGGGAACGGGTACATCACGGCCGCGGAGCTGGCGCACTCGATGGCGAAGCTGGGCCACAAGCTGACGGCGGAGGAGCTCACCGGGATGATCCGGGAGGCGGATACCGACGGCGACGGCCGGATCAGCTTCCCGGAATTTTCCCGCGCCATTTCCTCCGCCGCGTTCCAGAACGCTTGGGCTTAGATAGAAGAAGATAGCAAGTCAAGTGAAACGACGCCGTAATTTTCCTTCGTGATGATCGTCCATGTTCAAAAGTTAGATATTTTTGTCATGTTTTTGTTCTCAAGTTTGTGAAAGATATGATTGCTTGTTATAAGAACTCTCAATGTTTGCTTGACTCAAAGATGATCCAAGTCGAATACTGTAATGTATCCTCAAGCAGAAGAAAATGGCTACATCAGAAAAAAAAAAAAAACATTCAGGAAACATAAATCTTATAGGCTACAGTTACAGACTTGACCGAGTATACTTTGTCACTTCAGGATTCCAGATCACAGGGAAATGGGTGCTCCTGGAATCAGAGCAATTTCACAGATTAATCTCCGGTTGGAAGGTTGTACCCTTTGACAGTTCCTCTAGTGTTTTAACTATACTCCTGGCAGCTTCACAATAGGCTCGCGAGACGCCAGAATCAGGTGATGATATTACGATAGGGGTACCATTGTCCGAGCACGTCCTGATATCCACTTCTATGGGGATCTGGAAACCAGAGCAGGAAAATCATATCAGTGAGTTTCGCAGACCGATTTTACTTGGCAAGTGATATGTACTACAGCCGTGGGAAATTCACAATACCACCCTACCTCGCCGATGAAATGGTGTCCCATTGAATCAGCTGTCCTTTGAGTTCCCCCTTTACCGAAAATGTATGAAGGTTCAGCACAGTGTGGACACTTGAAGCAGCTCATGTTCTCTATGAACCCAAGAATCTGCACAGAGAATAATGACTCCAATCATTCATCGCTTTATGTCTCAATCATGTATCGGCTCAAAATACCACAATATCATTTGGTGCTTCCATATTAAACATGTTGCTTTAATTATGTTACTCCAAAGTTCATAATTTCACAAGCTATTATTTTCCGGAGAATGGCTACTGCTAACTAGAATGGCAACATCTACATCATTACTCCAAAGTTCATAATTTCACAAGCTATTATTTTCCGAAGAATGGCTACTACTAACTAGAATGGCAACATCTACATCACTCCGGGGACTGAAATTCAATATCTTTGGACTTCAAAAGAGCTAAAGGACATACCGGAACCTCGACTTTAGAGAACATTTTAACTCCTCTTCGAGCATCCAGTAATGCAACATCCTGTGGAGTTGAAACAATTACTGCACCTGCAAGAAGAGAACAGCTATGCCTGCATGATTACTATCTCTGTGCCAATTATAAAGCTAAAATCCTAATATTGAAGAATAAGTTTCGGTAAATCAAACTGAACTGGCCGTTTGCCTTCACAAACCTGATAACTGCAAGCTTTGAGTTATAGTAAGCTGAGCATCGCCAGTGCCAGGGGGCATGTCTACCACGAGAATATCAAGCTTTCCCCAACTGACTCCCCTAGTCATTTTCTCAAGAGCACTCATCACCTGCAACAGACATCAACCTTGGAGCTTACTATCAATTGAAGAAGCACTCTAGGCGTGTTATAAACAATTTACAGGTGACATTAGTAATAAGCACCAGACTGCGTGCACGTTTTTAAGCGAAAATAATGAAGTGACTTACCATGGGGCCTCTCCAAACAATGGGTGCATCTTGCTCTACAAGAAATCCCATGGACATGCACCTAACTCCATAGTTCTCAATCGGAATCATCTTTTTGTCTGTTCAAAAAAGTTAAAAATAAGATGCGAGTTGATTCAGGGCTATCATTTGTGCAACTAAAACTACAATCACTCAAAGCAGAAGGAAGGATGTTACAAAATCAACTTAACCTCCCACTGGATCTTCAATTTACATAACTAGAAAACTGTGCGTAACATTTTCTTAAGAAAATTCAGAATCACAAAGTTCTAATAGACAGTTATCTTTAGGCAGTTCTAATAAGCCTTTTCTCAGTTATTTTTCCCTTGATAGAATTATGGTCATTATTATCTTCAGTTAGCACTTCTTTGGTTATTCACACTAATAAAGGCACTCCCCTCTCTTAACGGCTTACACAATTTAGAAGCATATTGCATTGTTTAGCTCACCTTCGTCAGTTAATATAATCAGTGTCTCTATTGTCGCCTTTTCTGTGGAATCCTAACTCTCTTTTCTTTCTAGCCTGTCTCTTCCATGCTTGAATCTGCCATGCAAGTAGAGTAGGTTAAGAAAGAATGAGGAAGAAAGTTAGGACTACAGATCCGGCAGTGAGATTCCTAATTATGTTATGCCATCCAGAGCATCCCGAAGAAAAGAAATAGCCTATCTCAAAGCTTCCACCAAGGCATTCATGCAACATATGTTAATACTACATAATGCTAAACATCATACAAAATCCTAGTACCCTTTGCTACAAGTATTCTGTGTATCCGGAGTATTACCTTCAGTGATATCCGGCTTGCGGTCGATCTTCATCATCATAGGCACAGATGGCCCATAGACATCAGCATCAAGCAAACCCACCTTCAAATTGCATTTTTTAGCCAAGGCAACAGCCAAGTTTACTGCAGAAGCAACCGTGATTCACATCAGAGAAATTGATGAAATCAAAATGAATACACGTAACAGTCCCTTACGCTCAATTAAATGAATCTAACTTTTGGAAAAATAACAACATTTGCAATGCTCATGCAATCACTTAGAAGATTTCTAAGTAAGTACTTGAATAACTAAAGCAATGAAGAATAAGGAACATATTAGCGAACCAGATTATCCTTTTCAAAACATATTGGATTTCTAAACTTAAATGAGTCTCCCCATTACCACCAAATAATGAAAAGTGAAGAAACGGACTTAGCGCTAGTAAGAAGAAAAACCTATGGAGTCCCAAATCTACCAAGGTAGGTTTAGCAAAGGGAAAGAGGAAAGCAAGGAAATTACCAGCGGTAGTAGACTTGCCCACACCTCCTTTCCCAGAAGCAACAGCAATAACATCCTTCACCCCATCAAGTTGCAGCTTTGATCGGGCAAAAGGGCCAGCATAGCGCCTGATGCTGCCGAGTCGCTGCGGATAGACCAACCCCCCACAACCATTAGCATAAATGACAAGAAGAAACAAAGCCCTCCCATCTAGAAAGCAATAGAAGTATGCACTTACACTTAAAGGTCGCAAGAATCCCTTCATGAATGACCGCCCGAAATCCAGCAGAGGAACAAGAAATCTTGGATTGAAGAGGTGAAGTGTGAAAGTAAGTTCACTTTCCAGCCACCATCACCGGACACGGGGGTGCTTCAGCTTGAGCAGTTTGCTTGGCAGAACCACCTATGAATTGTTATAATATAGCAGATATTTCAGACTCTTAAGTTATTTCCTCAACTCTTGACAACAAGGTTATCTCACATCTCATAAGCTTTAACTTTTCAGAAATCATACCAATCAAATGCAGTTTAAAATTTTCCAACTGCTGCTAAATGACACTAACTAAAACTCCTTAAAGACTGACAAATTCCGTATGATTTCAGAAACAGATGAATAAGGCAGATGTTTCCAGGCTCAATGCTTTGCAGAAACTGTTCCCAACTACCCAAAATACTTCCTTGATCACAAAGTAATCACCAAAAGTGTTTCCAGAAACATACCAAATGATGCATTATTAACACATACAGTGAACTATTTCCAGCTGATTTTTGACTAACCCAAAACTACAGCACCGTTTCTTCAAATTTTCATTAACAGCAAAGGAAAAGAGAAGCTCCACCATGCTGAGCGGATTCTAATAGATTCTCTGTCATCTACCACTTACAGGAGCAAGAAACCAGGGGTATACAAAATAACATATATATCATTTAGGTTATAAGTTGCATTCTTCGCCAATTACAGTGTTGAAGCTAAGAGAACTTCTCCTTTGCAACGAATATGGGAGAAATAATGTCAGAGCAGTATAATAGTGACCATAACCAGAAAGCATTACCGGACTCTCTCTGTGTCGGAGGCAAAGCAATAGAAAATGACAGCGTGAGAAGAAATTGGAGCTGCGTGATAAGTGATAACTGATACTCACAGACAGAGGAAGGAGGAGGATGGCAGAGCAACAACCAGAGTGAGCAGTAGATCCCTGCCTGTGAACAATAATACATTGGTAAATCAATGATTATGAGAAGAAAAAAGATGGACCATTTTGCTATATAGGTGCAACTTCGTCGAACAACTTTACTAAGCAAAATTAGTGAATGGTCCAACAATCGTCAACTTCAAATGATGTTATGGAACAATCATCCGAGAAGCCAAATAGCAGCCAGAGCTCCCAGCTCTCGATGAATTTACTTTCAGACAATCCCAAATAGAATCAGTAGCCATAAAGATGGATGTATTCAAAACCTAACACTACAACTCATAAGCTGCACAGTAATCCTTCCCAGCATTAAAACAGCACCACCTCTACTTCTTAATAGAATGCAATCTCGTTTATGCCGTGTATATTTCTGGTCAAACTCTAAAGCCTAGATGACAGCAGCCAGCCTAACTGGACCTAGTGATATCATCAATCGCTAGATATCTAGGTTTCTGCTCAAACGAGGAAATGGCAAAATGCAAAACAAAATTCTCCTATTAGGCATTTGTATGAGTTTTTAACTCCGACACGATGTACATTCCTACCGTCAGCATGTATTGTCTCATCCCCCACCCTAAACTGTTGCATCTTCCCTAAAAACAGGATGCAATCCCATCTGCATTTTCTGTGTCCGAAACATGCCGACGTCTCATTTCCACGAATAAACACGGACTCGACAGGACAGCAAGAGAAAAGAAGCCATGTTGGCTACCAGATAATCAACTATGATGTCCCGCAACAGAAACAAATATCATATATCCAAACCCCCCTTTTTCTCTAGTGAGGCAAAATTCTAACGGTAGCAATCGACTGAATAGGTTCCCACAAGGCACCACATTTAACAAAGAATCTAAGAAAAAGAACTCTAACTACGGCTATTAAAGCCTTGATTCTGCAATACCAAACTCCAAGCAATTCTCCTTTCTACCAGAACTACTCTATCAAAGCAACCGGCTAAACGATTTAATGGTAGAATTCAGCCTTGGACTATTCAGGCTAAAATGGCATAAGCTCCTAAGGATATTCGCCCTAAAGCTTCAAGCATATATCACAAAAAACTGCAACTCGGTTCAGTCTAAACATTATCTACAGATTTCTTTCATGATGCGAAAATGATGACCAAATCCGGCAATAAGATGCCCACAATATTTGCTCGATAATTCAGCAAAGCGAGAACACAATTAGGACAATCATGGCCATTTGTGATTGGCGCGCAGCTTTGAGTTCCATTACCTGGCAACAGATTCGCTCGACGTCAGTTGTTCAAAGTGCGATTCAGACGAACTTCAAGGTTTTGCAGAGCGATCGAATTGCAAGGCAGGCAGACGGTGTCATTTATCCGTACAAGTTTTAGTACCTCTACTATTTTAACTCAATGAATAAGTCCTCGTACTATAAAATTTTAACAAAAACATCCCTCAGTTAGAAAAGGCGCCAAAACTGGACGTGATAACATGAAGCAGGAGGAGAAGAGTTCAGTCTCAAGAACTAGGTGAGATTAGTTTGTTCGATATGGGCAAAACTCAAGCTTCCGGATAGGATGCCTTCACGGCGGGACTCTTTCAATCTTGCTGGGATATTGTGGATCAGGATGTTATCGAAGTAGTTCTAAAGAGGAGAATTAAACCACCAACACCGCGATTCTGTTCAAGTTCTTGCAATTTTAGCCATATATTGAATCGTTAATCTCATGTGATACACAAACATTGACCAATGATGTGTATATCGATTTACGGGTTTAGCTAAAGATATAGCTTATACATTCCCCATATAATCTGCACTCCGGGCAATTTGCAACGGAAGATGGATAAGCGACTTGGCTACTAGAAAGCTAGCTACCGAGACATATTTTTACAAAATACAAACACATGGGAGATTCTCTCACCAAGTACCGCAAGTCGTATCGATGAAGACGATGCGCGACGACCAGTTAAGCTTATACAATTTGCATCAGAAATGAGCCACGATAAATAATGGTGATTTGGTCGAGATGTACAAAGCATACAGGCAGGCAGACAAAGGCCAAGGCATGCATCCTTTTTTTCCCGGACTTAATCACCACCCTCAACAATGTGCAAGGGAAAGGGCAGTAGTATATGCCAGAGTGCGCAAAGAATCAATTTTTATGTTGTCTCTCTATAATTCTCTGCCTCTGTGTATGAGGATACAGGTTCCAAAGTCTAGAACCTTCTTCCAATCGAAGCCGGACCAGAGGATGATGAAGCACGAGAAGGGTTTTTCCCGGTAAAGCTGCTGCTTGGCTTCCTTATGGTGGTCGACAAAGCAGAACTGTGGGGATTTTTTGCAGCAATGCTGCTGCTTGGCTTCATAATGGCAGTAGAAGAAGTAGAACTGCGGGGACAAAACTCACACAAATCCGCTTTAGTGTGCATAAGCCGACTGAGTAAAATATAATATGTTGAAAACATTCAGAAAGAAACTATACCCGATCCTTCTCTGTGCCGCACCTTTGTTCATGGCTGCAATATTTTTCAGTTCGTGACTGACATGAAACCCAGGGCAACAAAGGTAAAATGATCAAATTATTATCACTGTCAGACAAAATTTTCAACACTTCGAAAGTATTAAGACTGCGGTTAAGCAACAAGATCTTTTTACTTCACAAAAGCTGTATTGGAGTCTGGAATTACTTTAGAAACGAAAGAAACTCCACAGCTCCTAAAAACTGTAATACAAGAAATCAAGAATAAAGTACCTCTTCAGGAAATCTAGTTTTGCCTTCTTCATAATGTTGCTCTTTGAGTTTCCAAGATCATAACCACTTCCTAGATAAAGAGACATTTCAATTGTCAGGAAAAAAAACAAGCTTCTATATTTTTTGCTCCACTTAAAAGCAGGACAATGTATAATGGTTGAATGTTGCTAAATGTGAGACCCAAGGTTCTTTATATGTAGGAAGCTTGAGCAGAAAAAGCAGTAGATATAATTGAAACTTACCCCAAAAGCCTCTTTTATTGCTTGAAGGTGGAACCTTGGAGCAAAGCTGGATTTGCCGACTTTGTTTCCCTGAAAATGTTTGTACATCACAAAGTTATCATGTAAGAAGTGAGGACTATGAAGTACGGTATTTAAGGAGAACATGCCAGTTGCAAATTGGCAAAAGAGCTTGGATTGCAAATCGACAACAAAATATGTCTGGCAAAAATTATCTTAGAGATAGATTACAAATTCTTCATTCATGAGAAATGGAGAAAAATGACTGGATCATCAAACTATGTCTACCAAAAGGGGGCACACCAATCACCATTTCTCCAAATAGTGTAAATTGTTAAACTACTACGCTTCGACGATCACCCATGAGTGATCACCATAAGCGTTTTGGGTTTGATGTGACCGTTCTCTGCATTACATGTGCTACTTCTCATCATTCTGATAAAAAAAATAGTTAATATTTAATTCATGAAACAGAGACAAGAGAAATCACCATTATAAGATTGGAACACCCAGGAAAAAGACATACCATCAAAGTGAGGCACAGCAGAGAATCCATGACCTCAAAATTTTACCGAATAGAGAAAGTACAATTAATAGAGATACTGTTGTCTAGGGGAAGGGAGGCACATTTTTGTCAAATGGATGTTTCACCATGTTAAATTTAAGTGGCCTTTGCCACAAAGTAATGCATCAACTGGCTAGGGACTTGTTAGGCTAGGCAGCTCAGGCGCAAAGCAAAGTACAGACTTTCTAAATTACACCAGACATTATGATGCAGTACTTATGCTATCATTCTCAACAACAATGTCAATGATATCTCTAAACATCAATGTATCAGACAGTGGTTCAATAGATTCTAGTCCAGGATACCTTTTCATGTTTTATTATATATTTTGTGGACTTTAAGGTGGGAACCTGTAATGTTCTAGCAGATGGCTTCATCATCAATCGAAATAGTGAGTCGTAGCAAATTCAGCCTGAAATGCTGACGTCCATGAGAACAAGGTACGAAAAAACCTTGAAACTAATTAAGCACACTTCCAATGTGCCTGCTCAAATGAGAAGAGGCACACAGAAGCATGTACTTTCCATGTGTTCCTCACCCAACCCTTCCAAATAGCAAGGGGTGTGCTGAAGTGGCGGTTTTGACAACGAGTCCAGCAGGCACATGAAAACCTTTCTGTTGACCACTGTAAAGACTACAGGTAGTGCACAGAAGATCCACAAACAAGTTTAGGAACAAAACCCGAGTAAATATATGATTCAAATGAAAAAGTACGTACGGGCATCTTCGCTTTTGTATCGTTCCCGAAGACGAGCGACTGCTTTATTTTCTGCGTCCTCAACATCCTTCACCTTTGCCTTTAAACAAATTAATCACCGGATTAAAAAGACACGAAAGTAAATGTCATTTTCTGGGCAAGTATACACTCATTTTTAGCAATGACAAAGACGAAAGTATCCAAGCAACTAGAAAATGAAAGATCCAGGGAATAGGCACCTCATATAGTTGTTTCCATTGGAATGAAACTTTCTTCTGCTTCATCCTTTCAAGTACAAGATTAGTGCTGCTCTGACCGAAATGCTTCTCATAGAATTTCCTCCACAATGGATCAGTCACTGTACTAAGATCTCGCCCCTGAATATACATTTTTTACAAGAGATGAAGAAAATATCTTCAAGGTCTACCTAGAAATTAAACAGGAGGAAGGAAAACTAAGGAAGCCTTACTACTGTACTCTTCTCCACATGAGTCAACTGTTCGAGGGTGCAATGCGGTAAAATCCGGCTAAGAAGGTGCGAATCAGTCTCCCCAACATCTCCAAGATACTTCACGTTTTCAATTGCCAATTCGACACAAAGATCAACCAACGAAGGAGTTCTCCTCTTCCCTCTCAGCATCTTTGTCCTCCCAAAGTTATTATTCCCAGTCAGAGAATGATGTTCTTTCTCAACACTGTTGGTGAGGAAATTAGAGACCAGAAAGGTTCTTCCATTAGTCATGCAAACAGATCATCTATAACATATTGATTTTCAAATCAGGATTCATATGCTGAATAAGCTATAGCTGTATCAGAGGTCCCCCATCCAACAGACAGGAAAAATAATACATCACCAACCATCTGAAAACAGGCCCACTGCCAATTCTCATAAGTTGCCAATAATTTCATCAGCTGATTGATGATACCAGCTGGCGCTCGCCTTTCATTAGATGGCAAACAACCATCTCCTTGCAATAGCAAAACAAGTAAAGCTTCCGATCGAAAACATAAAGGGATCAAAATCGAGGACCAATTACTAATCTACAAAACGAGATGCTAAAAACGATCTATAATTCTCGCAATCCATGACAATTTTCTATCAACAGGAAGCAAGCCCAGAGATCAGATCGAAAGTTTGAGCAATCAATCGATTACCTTGCAACAGAAGTATCGGACACGCAATTCAGCCAGCTGAAACGGTAGCTGGAGATCCCTGGATTAGGAATTTGTCCTTTCCTTCCTTTCGCAGAAGAAGGCACCGATGGAGAAGAAACTGGAGCTGTGATAGCGATATTGAAGGAGACAGGAGAAGGAGAAAGACGGAGATAAAGAGAAGAAATTGGAGCTGTGATCGACGACAGAGGCGTTCTGCGACGGCGATACTAGAGAGAGAGGCACGAGATCCCTAACCAGAAGATTGAGCTCGCGCAACTAATTACCGAACTCACAGAGGAAGGGGAAAAAAACAAAAAGATGAAAACTGGGACTGCGCGCGGATAGAAAGAAACGACGTCATCTCGATCAGCAAAAACGTAAACGACCCGGAACCCCGTCAACTTCGGATAGTTCAGCGATCGAACCAGTCTAGGGATGGCAATGGGTCGGATCGAGGGACGGATAGTGCATATCCGTTACTGTTGGGCCAAAAGGGACTGACTAAGAGGGCCCGGGCCCAATAACTCGAAGCCGGCCCAATTGGCAAGAGAGGCCCAAAGGAGGAACCCACGGGAGGCGGGAAGAAACCCGCAAGCGTACATGGGTAAGTGTTGGGCCAAAGGGGGCTGACTCAGCGGACCCGAGCCCAATAACTCGAAGAAACCCCAATAGGTCAAAGAGGCCCAAAGGAAGAACCTGCGAGAGGCGGGGAGAAACCCGAAAGCATGCATGGGGAAGGTAAGCTCGACGTGACATTAGTAGCAGTAATGATGGCTACACTGACAGCATTAAATGCCGCCGTAGGCGTAAATGCGTGTAAGAGCAAGTCAGGTACACGCCCAGCAGGGCAATAATTACCCCTACCGATCCTTACATGCTATAAATACGAATCCACCACCTCATTTAATGGTAACTTAACTACCCCAATTCTCTCTCTACTCTCTCTCTCTCAATCTAAAACTAACTTAGCCATCGGAGGGTGTCCGAGGCATCCGCCTCCGGATCCTTTTTCAGGTACGGAGCATGCCCGCATCAGGGAAAGGCAAAGATTCTCCCAGAACAGCCTCAGTCCCGCCTTGGAACATTCCAGGCTTAAACAATTTGGCGCCCACCGTGGGGCGGTTCTGAGAGAATCACCGTCCTTTCTTCTCGATGGCAGGGAACTCCACCACACCCATGAAGGAAGTAATAGAATCACGCACGCTACGCGGACTCTCACCAGAGGTCGAAGAAGCAGTGGAACTTGAGGATCAAGTCAAGGATCACGGGAAGCAGATATCTGAAATGCAGAGTAACATAAATCAAATCCTCTCCCTTATTAAGGAAGGGATGAAGGAACAAGATAACCCGCCGGAGACGTCAGGAGGGCGACGGGACAAGGGGAAGAAGAAGGTGGTCGTGATCAGCGAGCCGGAGGAAGAAGACGGGGACGAAGAGCCCGAGGGAGACCTCAGTTTCCTCGAGGAGCATTTGCAGTCTAGCTTCGGGAAGTCCAACACAAAGGGGAAGGGGCCAAGTGTCTTGCACAACCCACTGGCCAAGGGACTATTCAAGAATCTGGTGCCGCCCAACTTCTCGTCTCTGGGCCTTTCAACCTACGACGGAAGTACGGACCCGGGAGACCACCTGAGTGCGTTCACTCTGAAGATGCAGCTCATCAACGCCACAGATGCGGATATGTGCAAGGCGTTTCCAGTAACGTTCGGGGGGAGGTGTCGTTCCTGGTACACCTCGCTTCCGGAAGGGATCATTGACAACTTTGAACAGTTCGCCACGCTGTTCTCGTCGAAATTTGCGTCTCAAATTCGCCGAAGACTGACAGTCTCAGCCCTCATTAACTGCACGCAAGGGGAGGGAGAAGCGTTGGTGGACTTCTACGACAGATGGAACACCATCGCATGCGAGGTGCAAGGCATTACGCCCAACGTAGCCGCGGGCAACCTGAGGATGTCCACGCGAAGTCTTGAACTTCAGAGAGCATTGATCAAAAGGGAGCAAGAGCTGAACACGTGGCCGGACTTGGATAATCTGGTACGCCGCGCAATAATCCTGGAAGAAGCCTTGAATCCCCCGATTCGCGAGCAAGAAAAACACCAAGGGAAGGAGGTGAGAAGGGGACACCGTACCCCCCCCCCCCCCCCCCCCCCCCCCGAGGAAAGGAAAATCCCCAGAGCGATATGGTTACAAGGGGAAAGCACGGGGAGGAGAAAACAAAAGGGAAGTCTACGTAGCGGAACGCGAAAAAGGAGGGGCGAATGCGAATCAAAAGCGCGTCGACAAAACCCGGCCCGAGGCGCCAGTTTCCAGAAGATGGTGCGATTGGCACAATAAAGCGACGCATAGCACAGCGGACTGCCGCGACTTCCAGATGAGCCTCGCCAACTTGGCACCCGGAGACTTACGCAACCGGCTCGAAGCAAGGAAACAAGGTAGAGAAAGATCTCAATCGCCCCGACGAAGGCAGAGCAGGTCCCCAAGGAGGTATCGCTCCAGGACTTCCAGGAAAAGCCGGTCCAGATCACCGAGAACCAGATCAAGGTCACGATCCCGCAGGAGGATAAGGGAGAGGCTACCTTCTCCACCCAAGGATCCGCCTCCGAGAAGGCAGCCGCGCCTTGACGAAGACGACTTCGAGGTGATCACGATATCCGGGGGAAGAAAGAAGAGACCAAGGATCGCGGACGACGCACAATGCATGACGGTGACGGCGTCCACATCCGCTGAGGTGATCTTCAATGCCTCGGAACTGGCAAACCCGGAAGCGGCCGAAGATCCCCTGGTTATATCTTTCCGCACAGGGAAGTATAAGATCACCAAAACCCTGATCGACAACGGAAGCTCCGCTGACATCCTTTTCTTCTCCACCCTAAAGAGTATGAAGAAGGGCGTAGAAGACCTCAAGCCTTCGGCGACACAATTGGTGGGCTTCTCCGGCTCCAAAATCAAAGTGTTGGGCGTGATTACGCTGCGCGTGACAATAGGGGAAGGAAGCATCACGAAGACCAAGCCCATGGAGTTCCACGTAGCGGACTGTCCCTCAGCATACAACGCCATCCTAGGGTGAGGTTTTCTCTATGCCTTCGAAGCGATACCTTCCACCTGCCACCAGCGGCTAAAATTCCCAGTCGGAAATGGGGTTGGATGCGTAAAAGGGAACTCCCATTTGGCAAGGGAGTGCTATCAGGCCACAATTAAGCACCTGGATGTAGACCTCGTAGACACACGAGGAAACGCCCCAAGGCCGGAGGGGTTAGAAGGGGACGTCGAAGTCGCCCTGAGCGATGAAGAACCTCATAAGAAGTTCCGGGTCTCGGCGCACCTTGCGCCCGGGCAGGTGGAAGGCATGATCAAGTTGCTACGAGAATTTGCGGACCTGTTCGCGTGGGGTCCAGAAGACATGCCCGGCGTTCCGAGAAGACTAGCCGAACATAGCTTGGCAGTCAAACCAAACACGCGCCCAGTCCAGCAAAAGAGGCGAAACATGTCGGTTGAGAAGCAGATGGCCCTAGATGAGGAGATACAGAAGTTGCTGAAAGCGGGCTTTATAAGGGAAGTGCGGTACCCCACGTGGTTAGCCAATCCGGTGTTTGTCAAGAAAAGTTCGGGTCTCTGGAGGATGTGCATAGACTTCACAAGTCTCAACAGCGCCTACCCGAAAGATCCATACCCGCTTCCCAGAATCAACCAGCTCATCGACGCTACAGCCAACCACGCCATGCTGAGTTTCCTCGACATGTTTTCAGGGTACCATCAGATTTTCCTCTCCGAGGAAGACCAGGAAAAGACGGCCTTCATGACGCCCACGGGAAACTACTGTTGGGTAGTGATGCCTTTCGGCTTAAAAAATGCGGGGGCGACGTACCAGAGAATGGTCGACGCCGTCTTGCGCAATCAGTTGGGGAGAAATGCGGAGGCGTATGTCGATGACGTCCACGTGAAGAGCAAAGAGGCGGCCACGCATCTAGAAGATCTGAGGGAGACCTTCAACAACATGAGGAGACATGGTCTGCGACTAAACCCATCGAAATGCGTTTTTGGAGAGGAAGCGGGCAAGTTTCTGGGATTCCAAATCACCAAGCGCGGGATTGAAGCGAATCCGAAGCAAATCGAAGCAATCCTCCAGCTCAAAGCGCCGAAAACAATCAAGGAAATCCAAGCGTTTAACGGGAAAATGGCAGCTCTTAGTCGATTCGTCCCGCGTTCCGCCGACAAGTGTTCGCTTTTCTTTCAAATATTAAAGAAGTCCACTGCAAGGTTCAAGTGGAGCGAGGAGTGCAATGAGGCTTTCTTACGCCTCAAGGAGCAATTGACGTCACCACCAGTGCTGAGCGCCCCGCTTCAGCACGAACGCCTTTTCCTTTACCTAGCAGTCTCCCATCAGGCGGTAAGCTCAGTTTTGGTAAGGCGAGCGGCCGAAGACGGGCACGACCAACCAGTGTATTACGTCAGCAAAGCCCTGCTCCCGGCAGAGACAAGGTACCTAGCAGTTGAGAAGGCCATCCTTGCGGTTGCAATGATCGCCCGGAAGTTACGTCCCTACTTCCAGGGGCACCCCATTACCGTTCTTTCAAACCTACAGCTCAGGAAAATTCTCCACGGGATGGACGCCTCCGGAAGAATGACGAGGTGGGCGGTCGAGCTAAGTGAGTATGACATTTCCTACGCCCCCAGACCGGCGATCAAGGCGCAAGTCTTAGCCGACTTCATCGTCGAAGGCTTCGCGGTAGAAGAAGAAGCGTCCGCATCTCAGAAAGCGTGGAAGTTATCTGTCGACGGGGCAGCCAGCAAAGGCGGAGCAGGAGCCGGAATAGTGATTGAAACGCCGAAAGGCGTTATCCACGAAATTGCAGTGCGATTCAACGACTTGAAAACAAATAACGTAGCGGAGTATGAGGCACTGATCAATGGGCTAAGGCTTGTCGCAAACATGGGAGCAAAGAGGGTAAAGATATACTCCGACTCGGCACTAATGGTGGGGCAAGTGAATGGCGACTTTGAGACAAAGGAAGAGGAGTTAGCGAAACTGGCTGGGAAAGCTCAAGGATCCCTGGCCCAAATGGAAGAATGGACTCTGGAGCACATAAGAAGGGAAGGCAACGGACACGCGGACGCGTTGTCCAAGCTAGCCACAGCGATGGACTTTGAAGGGGAAAGACAGGTCACGGTCACAAAGGAAATGGCTCAGGTGGAAAGCGTGTACGAGCTCGAGGAAGGTGACTGGCGTCGGGGGATCCTAAACTTTCTTGAGAAAGACGAACTTCCCAATGATCCCGCAACGGCTAAAGCGCTACGCAGAAAGGCACTTCGGTTTTCGGTCATCAACGGGGAACTGTATAAAAGATCCTTTTCAGGAGTCTATCTGAAGTGTCTAGGGTGGGGGGAAGCCGAACAAGCACTCCAGATGATCCATCAGGATAC